GTCGTTGCCCCGATGTTTCCTCCGTATGTGTATCCGCACGTTCGAGGTCTTCTTCGAGACGAGTTCGCAGTACGGGCACTTGAAGCGAGGAGGTTGACCGCATTCGAACTTCATGTGCCTCATCAGATTTGTCTTTCTGTTGTAAACACTGTCGCATTTCGTACAACCGTACAAACATACCTTGGATTTGAAGAGGCCGCTCTGTGTCAATCTGAGGGACGCGTCTAAAGCACCTGAAAACAAAAGTCAATGTCAGTTGCGTGTGCCGTGACTCGTTCCGCGCGTTGGAATATTTCTTCGTTCTTCCATCGTTACCGTCTATATTAGCGCAGTGTTGCTAGATTATAAGATACAAACATCATGTATACATAATCGAAGCAAGACAAGTCGAATCTCAAAATTAGTTTTGTCAAGTTTGATGGATTCAACTTTGCACAATCGTCTCCAACATCGTCTCCGCACAATTACAAGTGTAATAATTTCCAGGAACACACATACGACTCATGTGTGTTCCTGGAAATTATTACATTTGCAATTGTGAAGAACACTGACAATATGTAACAATTTCCGTCTAAAAAACGCACACATACACACACACATACGCAACACATCTTAAGACCGATTCTCACTTCGTACTCGAAGCGCAATCAGATCACGGTCAAATCAAAAAGAACAACAGCACGTCGCTTGATTCTGTCGTATTCTATAATAATGCAAATTCAATAAAACGTTGAATTTCAGAAAAAAAAACAATCAAGTTTGACTGGATCGTGATCTGACCGCTCTAGTATGAATGAAAACATGTAAGGACTCTTTAGGATGTAACTACATATTGCTATTCATATATTTATACGTCTTCACATACAATATGTTTATCTATATACACGTACCCAAGTTTTGAACTTTTATACATATTGCGTATTTGGAAATCGACAAATGTCTATGACATAAACAACAGAGCCGTCATGTTTTCGGCGAATGTGTTTCTGTATATTCGACGTCTTTTTAGATATCAAGTCGCAATACGGGCATTTGAATCGCGGTGGTTGGCCACATTCGTATTTCAGATGCGTGACAAGACTTCCCTTCCGTTTGAATTTGCTTGAACAGTAATTGCACGGATATTTGCCTGAAAAACACCACGTATATATAAATTAATACCACATACTTCACAAGATAAAATACAGTAAACAAAAAAAAAGAAAAAAATCAATAATCGTGTGCATAAGTAAATTTGTAAGTCTAAATACTGTTAAAAAAGATTCATGCGCCTTGCCAGGATTGAGATAAAACTTTTCGATTTTTTTTAGTTGCTTTCAAGCTTACGTTTTAGTTTTGCCGCGCTGTTGCGAGAGAAAAAATACGCGCGTCTTCGTGGGTTATAAAAGTATTTACAGAGAATTTTATATATACATTGTAAATATATATTGTGGATGAGGAAAATATAAGGATCTTTTTAAACATTGTCAGAGAGAATAATCGTGCTGACAAACAAAAAATCTTTTTCGAGTGATTTTAATAAAGAAACTTTATTGCAAGAAATTTGTCGATCGTGAAATTTATGGAAATATGTATTACATGTACAAATACTTTTTCACATAGAAACTAACGTTGTCGATGTAACTATCGATCGAACAAACTAATTTGTATTCTCGTGCGTTTGCGAGCGCGCGCAGTTACTTTTAAATATTTTATAATACTAGCACAACACAAGCGCGCGCTATTATTATTTTCATTTTCATGTGTTGCATCAGTGAACACAACCTGTCACCGCGATGACAGCTAATATATACATCTTATAAACTATGTAATACACCTACGAGAGATGTCATAAATAACGCATAAAAATCAAACTCAAAAAATAAAAGAAAGAGAGAAGAATGGAAAAACAACACGTGACTAAAGTTACGTGACAAAGAAAAGAGTAAAAAAGAAAATATTATATATATAATTTAGATAATATTCTATATCTATATAATACACACACACATACACACACACACACACATGTACACATATATATGTAATATTCTATATCTATATATAATATACACACATACGCATATATGTATATATATATATATATATACCGTAATCACGTGACCGAAATCAGTAACACCGCTGCAGTCGCGCAGCCGAGGTCAGTGACTCCACCACAGTCGCGCGACCGAGGTCATTGACCCCGCTGCGGTCGCGTGACCGGGTCAGTGACTCCCCCCCACCAAGGCCGCGCGGCCGAGGTCAGTGACTCCGCCAAAGTCGCGCGGCGGAGGTCAGTGACATTACTGTAGTATGTATATAATACATATAATACAATATAAAGTATAATATTATAAATGTATAATAAATTATATGTATAATATGTATTATTTAATGTTATATATAATATAAATTACAGTCACGTTATTTTCACGTGTTGTTTTTCTACTCTTTCCTGTCACGTGACTTTAGTTACGTTTTTAATTTTCTCTACATATACGACGAACTGTCTTAAAATCGCTTTTCATTATTTACTTTCTCGATCTTACTGATTCGATTCGACTCGATCAACCAACCAACCAATCGGCAACGCGGAAAAGAGGCAACAATAGATGCGACACATTTAGCTCCAAAACGCGCACTTCGCGAAACACATGGATTTTTTTTATATAGATATCAATAAAAATACGTCACTCTGATGAATGTGATCAAACAAACGATATTAATTCTTTTTTTCGAACCTGTAATGTGAAAACAATAGCAACGAAAAACACAATATACATCCTATATACATATTTGACATACTTTTAAATATATGTACACGTGTAGAATATATACAAAAAAATCACAGCTAAAACCTTTTTATAAATTTTAAAAGTACAAATATGCGCGTGACAGTCTTGTACGTCTCTACGTGTCTCAGTTTTTTTTTTTTTTTAATCGTTTCAGTAGCGAACTATCGGCTGCTGTTTGTAGATATCGATGATCTGCAACTTTTTGTCCTTGTGCATCCTTCGCACGTGCACGTACATGTTCGACGAGAACTTGGCGGTTTTCGTGCAATACGGGCACTGATAGCGCGGCTCCTTGCCGCACTGGAACTGACAGTGCGTCTTCATGTCGGAGAGTCTGGTGTAGCCGCTGTTGCATCTGGGACAGTGAAACTTCTTTCTCACAGTCGAAACGATCATCGAGTCCGACCATCGAGTCGTGGCGATTGATTCCGAGGTGGTTTCCTGACGACGAAGAGTCGACTCGACGTAACGATAAGAATTCTCTTTCGCTTCCTTTATCGCATCCAGATTGTCTCTTCGAGGCTGCTGATAGGTTTTGCTGATAGACACGCTGTCTCCGGACACCGCCTCGCGACGTACGTACGACGAGTGCCCGTAAAGCGAATCTATAAAAATAATCGAATTTCGGACTGTAGTTAACAAGGAGCTAGGGTGTTGACGTATGTATGTATCATCAAGTCTAAGGTTATCACAATATTGAAATAGAGAGAAACAGTATCGTCCATGCTCTTCGGTTATCTACTACGCAATCGAATTGCCGAGATAGAATCTCAGTTGTATTGCGTACAACTTGCACCTAATTTATATGTTAATTATAAACATTCGATTTCTGTCACATTCTTCTTGTCAAAGAACAATATTGCAGGCGCTGTATTATTTTCTGTTTATTATTTATTTGTAATATACATTTTTAAACACACAATCAGAAATACTACTGTAGATATAATATATTAAGGAAAAGATATATCAAGAGGATATATTAAGGATATATAATATATTAATATATAATATATATATAATACATTAAGAAAAACATTTAAAACATTTCGTCTTTTATATATATTATGTGTGATGTATATATATTATATTCTTATATATGTATATTCTTAGCATTCGTCACTTTATAAAATATTTGAACTTCAGATAACAGACGTCGTATAAAAATTTCTGTGACATAGCATCACTAATAATCTCGTCACTAATTAAATATCTTCCACAAATATTAATATCATAAAAAAAAAAAATTAAATTAATACATTACAACATTCATGTTTTTCACATATTCGATCTCACGGCCGATGTGGACTATTTGTGCAGATCAATTATAAATGTCGATAGATCGCTGTGCACTGAGCGAACGTGCGAGTACATGTTCGACGATATGTAAGCCCGTTTGTGACAATACGGGCATTCAAAGCCCGGTTTTTTTCCGCATTGGAATCGCAAGTGCTTTTTCATATCGCCCAGATATTTGTAACTCTTGCCGCACTTCGGACACTTGGACCGCCGCTGTTCGTCGTTTTGCTGCGCAGGCTGTTGTTGTTGTTGTTGTTGTTGATGCTGTTGCTGTTGCTGCTCAGATATGTTATCCGAATACCAATCAGATCTTACGACAGTATTGGAATCGAATGGGAGCAAAACGTAATTCCCAAAACCATCGTCGTGATGTTTCTGCAATGTAGAGTGAAAGACAACGCGCTGCTCCAACGGCATCACGGATAGATAATCGGAATTCTGCTTTTCTTGCTGTTGAACGATATCTGAAAACAGACAAACAGTTCGCACAAAGATAATCTGCAGTAATCTGGTGTTTATAACGTATGACATAGAGATGCATAAGTAATCTGGTGTTTATAACGTATGACATAGAGATGCATAAGAAACAGGTGCAGCATTCTCCGTTCTTAACACGTTATAACTGTACCGCGAGAGATAATCGACAAAAAATTTGACAAAATAAAATTTGACACAGTAAAGCAACCACGTGGCGGAGGTAATCGCCAGGTAATGCGTTAAAACATAGATTCGATATTAAATGTGTTATAAGTTGGCTAACTCCATATAATGTAAATAAAAGCTTAATTGTATTTTCGATATTGCACAAAGCTGTAACGTGGCAAATGTGGATATTCATATAATGAAATATTCTGTAACTATCTACTGCAGTAAATAAGTTTTATTAAATACATATCAACACACAGTACACTTTCTTTACAATTTTTTCTCGTTTCTCTTTGCGCTTAACGAGAAAAAAGAAAGTTCGCGTGCACAATAAACTTACTCAACTAAAATATAAATGCACAAAATATTTAGTATCAACTAATAATATCAGTTATAAGTTTTTTCCTGGTACATTCGAGTGTAAGTGCACAAAATAAAGCACGAGAAAACAAAAAAGCTGAATTGCAATCAAAATTGTAATTAAGTTTTTCCACAAGTTGCTTTCTCCGTATAATTATAAGTGTATAAAAGCAGAAACACGAATTAAGTTGCAAACAATATGCATAATTAATAATAATAATTCTTTAAAATAATGCAACTTCTAATAATAAACTTATAATAATAAAATGACACTTGTGTGTAATAGTCATTATATCAATTATAATGACTGCGCAAACGTGACAAAAATTACGCGTTTCTTTCTTTGAAAAATTACGTTCAACATTATAGCGTTATATGCTAACATTAGCAGATACACACAATTAACATAAAATTGTGTAAGAGAGAAAAAAAACATACTAAACACTACAAGATACATACGAGTAATTTTACTTTTATTATAATTTTTCGTTTTCTTTATTTCGTATAGACACTTATCATTGATGCCAGTAATTAGACAAAAATAGTATTTTGTTTTGATTGAAGTATTATCGCAAAACACGATTAAGGTAGCAAAAACAAAAAAGAGAATTTGTTGTTTTTTTTCATTTATAACTCCATGCTGGAATCTTCGCTGAAAAGTTCCAGCGGCTCTAGTTTTGTTTCTTTCTTACGCCACTGCTTGCTAACGCAGTAATTCCTCTTGTGACGTTCCGTTATGTACGTTCCCTGCATAGTTCTGCCGCAATCTGGACACGTGACTGTTTGTTTGCATTCGTGCTTTTGATGATATCTCAGATTCTTCTCGTGCTTGTAATTGCGACCACAATCATGACACTTGTATCTTCCGGCGCTCAAGTTGTTTGTTCTAGAATTCGGATTGGACAAGCAAGTTTCCGATACGTGTCTTTTGAGAATTCTATACGAGAAGAACAATTCGTTGCAGTAGCTGCAGAGATACGTCGGATTGTCATTCTTCGCTGTCCAAGCTGTACTTTCGTTGTCGGACGAGCCGTTCAAGGAGATGACTACGTCGGGGTCGGTGAGATTTCGAGACGTTCCTCTGTGACCGGTACTAGTTGAAGGTTCATTATTTGACGCGTCATCACTAGAAACTGTTGTTTTCTCTCGCGTTTGCACTGCTTGTTCAGATGTGTTCGTTTTCTTCTTCGATAATTTCTCCTTTTCTTTCACAATCAATGGTTCTTCCTCCGACAATATTTCTTCCTTACTCGCTGATGTTTTCTTCACTGGTCGTTGTACTTTTTCGATGATCAGTTGTATTTCCACGTCATTTTGTAATACCTTTTCGACTACTAATGTGCTTTCCATCTGAGGTGATTTTTTTCTTTTTACTGATAATTTCTTTGTCTTCTTGAGAGATATTTCTTTTTCTATCGAATTTTCTCTGCTCTCTGATATTACTATCTCTGATATTCCTGGTGTTTCTATTTCTGGTGTTTCTTCTCCTTCTTCTTCCTCTTTTTCTGTAACATAACATAAAATATAATATTTAAAACAATCGTAAAGATAATGTATCGCGTTAAAAATAGACTGTCGAGAATTTTCTTCATCATCGTAAATGGCAGAAAATTCGTCGTAGTCAGTTAGCGTATTAAACTACTTAACAAAATAAAAGATGCAACAAAACGATAAAAATAAAAGCCGCATGCAACCCATTGTAGCCGCGAAGAATATCGGGAAATTATATTCCAAGGAAACAAAAATTGACAAAAAGTTGCTATGATAATAAATTTCTTAAATAGCGTAAAGCATACAGAAAAAGAAAATATAGTTTATTAATATATCTTTGCGTAACTTAGCGCGCAGTATCGTGCGCTAAAACGCACTTTAACATACAATCGTACGATCGATTTAACCGATTTGCAAAGTAATTGTAAAAATAAGATATAAGTGTAGAAAGCTTCTGCATTTATTGACAAAATTTGGCACAGTTTTATTTATCACTTATATTCACACCGTGGTTGATTTTGACTAACATATCTGAAAGCATACAAGAACAGATCAATAAACACATATTCGGCACGATAAAGAAATAAAAAATTTGAAACGAGATATACTGTTGTTTCTAAATGCCGTGTTAAATCCAAGAGAATGTTTCTGAAATTCAAACGCTCTGTTAAAAACAGGATCAGAAAGAAATCACAATTGTTATCATTTTAGAAATATTTGAGTATAATTTATATATACACATTCGTCGTAACGTATCACAATAATTCTTTGACTTAGGTATTCGGTTGCTCTGCAAAGAAACGGTCACAGAACAACGCAAATTATCTGCACTCATCGATACAGATATCTCAACAAAAAAACTATTCTAAGAAAAACAAAACATTGACTGTCTTATAAATCTTCAAGATTCCGTAACACGATCTTGAGAGCTCGGTAAAAACTTGCGGACTATTTCGGCAGTTTTTGTCCTTCCTCAATGTTTTATTTATTTAATCTCTAGTATTCAACATAGAACACAACGAGTTAGATTCTGGAACGTCTTTTCACGTACGTTCCCTCTTTTTCAGAATATCAACAACGAGAAAAGATCTTGCGCGATTGTTGCGAAAACTCGGGTCAAACTGCTCCCAGCACACGTGTGTCATTGATCGCGCATTAACAAAGCTGAAAGTTGCACTGTCTCTGGCAGTGCCTTCGCAGACTGCTGCTGTGCAGAAAAGTCTTGCCGCAGACGTTGCATTTCTGCGTGCGGCCGCACTCGTGTCTCACGTGGAAGATGAGGTGCGACTGCTTGGAGTAGCAAGCGCCGCACTGCGTGCAAGAGAACGGCCTGATCTTTTGCGACTGATGACAGGTGGATCGGGGATTCCAGTAGCAAGAGCTCCTCTGATGGCTCCTCAGATGTCCGGACTGCGTGAAACCCTTGCCGCAGTACTTGCAGCTGTACTTTCTCTTCGAGCCGTCGCTGTGAGTCGTATTGTTTGGGCCTAGCTCCAATTCTGCAACACGATTGTCGATGTGTCAGTTGATCATTGACGCAATCTCGCAACGAGCGCAAACTTACAACACGATATGATCACAGTATAAACACAATATGGAAAGATAAACAAAAAGCAACTTCCTCCAATGAAATGTTTTATTTGCGGGTTGATATTTGTGATATGATATAATGTGTTTAAAATTAGATGTGTAATCATATAACACTTGTAGCTATATAAGTAAATCTGTAAAAATATATCATTAGTGAAAATTCACTTAAACAGTAATCGCTTTTATTATAAAAAGGTGGACGGTTACATCATATATTCTATAAACGCATGTTCATACATCGTACGTATGCATGTATATATCATTTATATGTATATACATATAACATACAAATCGATAGTGCGAGTTAAAAAAAAAAACCTATTTTTAACGTTTCGAATAAAAAAAGAAATGATAATATGCTGTAACGCACGGTTATTAGCTTCCTAAACTTCCCACTTGTATCACATATAGTAATTGTTATATAGTTTAGTATTTTCTTACAGTTTTCACACATAGAAAAAAAAAGAGTATCAAAGATCTCACTTAGAACATAAGCACTGCTTAATTAAGACGAAAAGTTCGAAATTCACGTTGCTTAGCATTTGAAACTCGGATTACGATGACGTGACTTCTTAACAACAAAAAAAATATGATTACGAAAAAAAAAGCTCTTGTTGCAACTCGCGTTGCAACTGTATTACATTTTGTTTGAAGAAAATTCTGTATAATGCATTGTTATGTATCACGATAAGAATAAAACAAAAAATTCTTAAATGTAAGCGATACGTAAAAAACTAAAAACAAAAAAAAGCCTTAAAACTAATATCGGACATTTCTTTGCGATACGCAACACGGTTCTTAGACTTTTACTTCCTGGCACGTTTGACATTTACTTTGGGCACACAGGTTGCACGTTTCTTATGTCTGCAATAACTAGCCCGATGACGAAATGTCGTTTCGCAAATTACGCAAGTGTACAACTTGCCGCAATCGTTGCTTATATGCGAAGTAAATGTTCGAGGATTTCTAAACGTCTTGTTACAGCCAACACAAACAATCACGCCCATTAATATTTTTCTCCTAATCTTCGGCACCCAATCATCAGAGGAATCAGAATTTTCAGCATCATTCTGACATTGGTTTTGAATCTTATTATATACTTTACATTTCAAATGTTTCTTCTTTAGTTCTACATCTGAAATCAGACATAAAACAACTAAAATTTTAGATATATTTTAAATTTCTCTAACTTTAATGAAGAGACTTTCAATTATTTGTTTCGACGAGAGAACGAGTCACCGCCGCCGATTTGTTACTCGTTAGCTGCAACAACGAGAAGTAGCAGTGAAAGCTTCTTCTCTCGCCGAAGCGAATTATTGAAGATCTCAGTACATATATTTGCAGTTAGATAAATCCAAAATATATTCTACACATTTGTGTAAAATAAAAACAGAAAAAACTTAACGAGATAATACAGATAAAAGTAAAAAAGCAATTTTTTCTTATGACAAATTCTCATATTGTTTTTTGTATCTTCTTATTTAATTACTTCTACAATAAACTAATACTACTGTTCTATTAAACAGGACGTTTTCACATATGCATGCAGGAAGGACGTTTTACGAACATGTAGACACACATGCAACAACAGATAGTACAGATAGGACATTTTTTACTATGTGTGTTTATATATCGCATAATATAAAATATATATACGTATAACAAAACGTATTATTCATTATGTAATTATATTAAACCAAAATACAAGAGATGATATTACTAGTTTTCATAATTTATTTTTAAAGGCCGAAAAACAGCTCTCTAATATGAAGTAATATAATTCTTATAAAACTCTGTTGTTTCTTTATATTTTCTACTACTAATATCGTATTAATAAGTGACACACTAAGCAGTAAATTACCGTGTTTTATTATCAAGAACAAGATCTGTAAATATTTCGGTCGAGTTTTCATCAAATTGGTTCTCAAGTATTGATGTGCGGCAGAAAAACAAACACAATGTGTATAATGTAACATTTATTTTTTCATCTGTAAAAAAAACCGAAAGACACATGAAAGATACATATATGTATAAAATATGCACAATGTAATCTAACGTATTCGATGTGTTTTTAGTAGCCGAAGTCGTGACGTCACTACATAAACTTGAATGTTATCAACATTATATTCAATAAATATACTCACACGTAACAATAATTACACTTTGCCGTCGATTATCGAAAAGAGATCTTCGTTGTTGTGTTTTCGTCTGATGCGCGTGTATTAACAATTATTTTATTCATATGTACATGTATCATACTAAATATTATATGTTTCATAAATATTATATTTTATTTTCATATATAATGTTATTGTACATTTTTTCAAAAGAGTATTTGTAGATGTACTAAGTTACAAAAAGAGCATAAAAAATATAAAATAGTCTTCGTTTCTCAGTTCGTTTAGTTCGTTTCATATTCTCTTTCATATAACACGCCTCGCAAGGAACTTATACGTTCTATTTTTTATATGTACGCCTATCGATAAAAACAGCAACAAAACAACTAAAAAAACTTAAAAAGATTTACAATTCTATTTGCCATCGATTATCAGAAAGAGATCCTCGCCCTTGTGTTTTCGTCTGATGTGCGTGTAGATGTTGGGCGAGTGCTTGCTCTTCAGACCGCAATACGGGCACTGAAACTTGGGCTCGTGGCCGCACGCGGTGCGCAAATGCGTGTATAACGTGCGTTTATTCTTGTATCCCTGAGAACACTGCGGGCACACGTAGTTGCTGGATCCCGATCGGCGCTGCAGAATCTCGACTGGGAGGGACGGATCCTTGAAACAGCCCCTTGTCAGATGACGTTTTAGATGACTCTTGTTCGAATACGGACAGTTGCAGAAACGGCAACGAAACTCGGCATTACTGTCGAGAAACGCTGAAACAGATAACGACGGGAGATTGAACGGAAGGATGTAACAATCGATCGTTGAAGATCTAACTACTTAAATTCAGGAGAAAAATAAGAGCGAAGAGTCGACAGAGAACACTCCTTGGTCCGCATGCTTGAAACGCTCGAAGAAATTGATCTCTCTTCTGCTGATTAGTAAAATTAAACAGTTTTTCTTTTGCAACCGTTATTAACGGTCAATACAATTTGATAAATTATCATTCAAACTATTAAAATGCTTCAAAAAATCTGCCACTACAGACGTATTTTTAAAATTCTACACGTCATACAACTTATTGATTAATATTGTTATTTTTCATATTCCTATAATCTATAAAGGTGTAAACAATAAAAACAATAATAATAAAAAAAAGTGTAATAAATCGTGTTCGACACGCGATATTATTTCTTCTACTAGATCACTTTCTGTGTCTATGTTTGATACTAGAATATATTTGCGATAATACATAAGCCGGCACACAAATAAAAGAGACAAACATCACAGTGATAATATATCATACATTGACGTAA